ATTGAAAAACTTGATGACGCTGTTTTTATGTAAATACACATATGTGTACAAAACCGTAAAACTCAGAATTTACATCTATCACTTCTAGTCATTAAAAAATAAAAAAAAAAGATTTTGTTAGCTATTTAGGACATATAGAATGGGGATCAAATGAGAGCGCATTGAAATTTAAAAAAAAGTGTGTTTTTGGGACACCCTAGTATACACACATACACACGTACACAACAACACTCCTGTATGAGCATACATTTATATACACACAAATACACGGCCAATGCATACTGATGCATCCACACTCATTGTTATAAGGTTCTGGGGTGAGGCAAAGGGGGTAGGAATGAGGGTGTAAGTTCATGTTTGGATATATATATATATATATATACATATATATATATATATATATATATATATATATATATATATATATATATATATATATATATATACATATATATATATATATATATATATATATATATATATATATATATATATATATATATATATATATATATATATATATATATATATAATATATATATATATATATATATATATGTATATATATATATATATATATATATATATATATATATATATATATATATATATATGTATATATATATATATATATATATATATATATATATATATATATATATATATATATATATATATATATATGTATATGTATATACTCATATAGTGTCGCTTTAAGAGCATTTTAATGTAAAAAAAGTCTCTTACGACTACAATTTTAATTACCTCGTCTCTTAAGCTGTTTTTGATTGTCATCGAAATGTCAAAGCAATTAATTTATGCGGAATTACATTAAATTTAATTGTTTTTTAAAAAATTTTTAAAAAACCGCAATTATAACGACTAGAAAGTTTTTTTTAATTACTGGTGTTTTTGTTATTGATTTAATAAAAAACATTTTTTAAACATGCGTAAATGTTGCTACATCGACTATCTTATAGCCTGACTCGCAACGGAGTGCTGCTACATCGACTGACAAATAGCCTGACTCGCAACGGAGTGCTGCTACATTGACTGACAAATAGCCTGACTCGCAAGGGAATGCTGCTACATCGACTGACAAATAGCCTGACTCGCAAGGGAGTGCTGCTACAACGACTGACAAATAGCCTGACTCGCAAGAGGGTGCTGCTACATCGACTGAGGGTTTGGTTTAACCTGGCAGTCTATCAATTAAAAAAAAAAAATTAATTTTTAAAACTTTTTCTGGTCTGGTTTATTAACGCGCTCTTTAAAACTACAGTTTATGGGAAACATTTTTTGATGCCACGCAAGAGACATGTAAGAGTATATATATATATATATATATATATATATATATATATATATATATATATATATATATATATATATATATATATATATATATATATATATATATATAACAAAGAAATGATAGATTACTGCATTGCTGTTTTAAGAAATGAAATGTCTATAAACCAGGCATCCAAAACTTTCATAACGAGTGAAAGGTGAGCTACCAATTTATGCTCATCCAGGACAAAAAACAGTTTTAACTTCACTGAAAGGAAAAGGGCTTTCAGAATCATTTAGTGTTTGAAAATTCTGATCAAGTAAAATATACAACCCCCTCATTTTGGTGAGGGTGAAATACCTCACATAATCATAAGTTTTTATCACTAAAAGATTATAAAATTAAATTTAAAACCTTTAGATAAATTTATATGTGTTTTGAGATAAAAAAAAATTCTTTGGAGATAGTAGTGATCATTTAGAGATAAGAGGAATAATTTTTTGAATGGAAAATCTAGATATGGAGCAACTTTTTTACATAGCGATGATTGTGTCCACCCCCCCTCTCCCTCACAAACAACATATGTTTATACCTCAAAGGGTATAAATATATGTTGTCTGCCTTTAGGAAAAAAGAAATTTTAAACTTCGCAATAGTCATTAATTTTAATACAAAAATCTGAAAGTTTATAAAAGAAGTGGCTTTAATGCTCTACTTTAGATATAAATTTAATGAATATCTTTTGAATAAAATTTACTTTAAATTATCAATACTTAAAAAAATTATTTATATTAAAAAGCTATAAATTTTTTCAACATGTCTTTTAAACATATTCTTTCAACAAAATACTTTCAACACATTTTATGAATACACTAAGTAAACAACAAGAAATTTATTTTATTTATCTATATTGTCATTTAATTAACTTCTGCGTAACCTTCCTTCTTACAAAAACAACCAATTATTTATATAAAACTAAAGGCTTTATAAATATTCATGTTCAAAAACCGTGTAAACATTAAAAATAACTGGTGTTTTGAACGAATTTGGACGATTTTTTCATTTAATCTAGCAGTTTTTTGCATTTGATCTGGTGGTTTTTTGCAATAAATTGGCAGTTTTTTGCATTTAATCTGGCGGTTTTTTGCATCGCTTCATTTAAATTAACTTTCATTCAACATTTAAATTAATTCTTTAAATAAAAAA